CCTTTTGCAGTTTCGCGTCAGAGCGTCAGAGCACTTGCAGAATCAAAACTTTGGCGGGGCCGCGGGGCAGTCGAATCTCTGCGCTTATCGATATTCTTTGCCCCGCTATCAGCAAAGGAAATCTTATTAGGGGTCTGAAACGTCGTAGTATAGATAATTCGGCATACCGGCTTAGGTCTTAAATTATACAACTATGATTCATAGTGACTACGTTACAGAAACCCCATAATAAACTTCACTATACTCTTAGAATTGGTACATGAATCCAGCCAGTCGGACTAGTGGATACTTGAAAGTTACTGCTACCAAAATTAGTTCACTGGCTAAACGATATAAATACTTTTGTCGCTTCGTCAACGCCCCCCCGTTGGAGCTATTTGTTTATTTAACATAACCAACTACATGAATTTATCTTGATGGTTTTCAATATCGACTTCATATCTTCTCATCTTAAAAACATAACACCGTCAAAATGCCTGTCGTCACTCCAGAGAAATTAGCTGCTCTGCAGCGACACGCGGATGATATAAGAAATGTACTCACCCCCTCGTTCCGAGTCCATCAGTGCTCATTTTACTAACGCAACTTAGATCTGCATCCTAGCTCATGTTGATCATGGCAAGACGTCCTTAACGGATGCCCTCCTTGCTACAAATGGCATCATTTCGCCAAAGCTTGCCGGCAAGATCCGGTATCTTGACTCACGACCCGACGAGCAAATCAGGGGTATCACTATGGAATCTTCCGCCATCTCCCTATACTTCTCTATGCTCCGAAGACCAGCCCCGGATGCTACACCCGTACCCAAGGAATACTTAATCAACCTAATAGATTCGCCCGGACACATTGATTTCAGCAGCGAAGTATCAACTGCTTCAAGATTATGCGACGGTGCCGTCGTGCTGGTCGACGCCGTCGAGGGCGTTTGTAGCCAAACAGTCACAGTTCTCCGCCAGGCGTGGACGGAGAAATTAAAACCGCTTTTGGTTTTCAACAAAATAGATCGACTGGTTACCGAGTTGAAAATGACGCCAGGCGAAGCTTACATCCACCTTAGCAAGCTTCTAGAGCAGGTAAATGCCGTTTTAGGAAGCTTCTTCCAGGGAGAACGTATGGAAGAGGACCTGAATTGGCGAGAACGAATGGACGAGAAAGTTGCTGCGGCTGCTGCAAGAGAGGCAAAGCTCGGAGATGTCGAGAGCGAAACAGGCGACCTACAGTTCGAGGAAAGAGATGACGAAGAATTATATTTCGCCCCCGAGAAGAATAACGTCATATTTAGCAGCGCCATTGATGGCTGGGCCTTTACCGTGCGACAATTCGCTAGCTTATACGAGAAGAAGCTCGGTATTAAACGAAGTATTATGGAAAAGGTGTTATGGGGCGATTTCTACTTAGATCCGAAGACTAAGAAGGTTCTTGGCCGAAAACATCTGAAGGGTCGCAATTTAAAGCCTATGTTTGTCCAGCTTGTGCTTGAGCAAGTTTGGGCCGTATATCAAGCAACTACCGGCGGAGATCATGGAAAGGGGTAAGTCGGTTTTCTACTTTTCGCTTGTATCATTCACTTCTCCTTTTTCGATCATTAAGACGTTGCATCGAACTTGTCACATTTCAAATTATTTGACTTATAAGCCTCGGATCCAAAAACGATACGCTAACTACGATACAGCGATCCGGCTCTACTCGAGAAGATAACAAAATCGTTAAATATCACAATAGCGCCGCATATTGCCAGGTCTCGAGACCCCAGATTACTACTTACAACGGTTTTCTCATCATGGCTACCACTATCGACGGCTCTTTTGGTGTCTGTCGTCGAGTCTCTGCCGTCTCCAAAAGTGGCCCAGGCTGAACGTCTGCCCGAGTTGTTAGAATACTCTCCCGGTTCATCTCATATCGATCCATCAGTTAAGGATGCGATGGTGAATTTCAAAACGTCCAAATCAGACCCCGTCGTTGCATACGTCAGCAAAATGGTTTCCATACCCGAAAGCGAACTCCCGGAGAATAAGAGGCGAACTAATCAGCTCAGCGCCGAGGAAGCTAGAGAACTGGCTAGGAAAAAACGGGCAGAATTCGCTCGTGCTCAGGCGGCAGAAAGCAACGGAGTGGATTCCCTCACCACAGCTCTCGATAGTGCGAATTTGGACGACTTCGCACCCGAGGAGGAGAAAAAGATCGACCCAGAGCACTTGATAGGATTTGCACGGATATATTCAGGCACTCTATCAGTTGGCGACTCACTTTACGTCCTACCACCAAAGTTCTCTCCCGCAAATCCCCACGCTGCCCCTGAGCCCCAGAAGGTGACTGTGACGGCTCTATACATGCTTATGGGCCGCAACCTGGAGTCGCTTGATTCCGTCCCGGCTGGTGTCGTCTTTGGTATTGGCGGTCTCGACGGCCATATCTTAAAATCGGGCACTCTATGTAGCCAATTGGAAGGTTCCGTCAATTTGGCGGGTGTCAACATGGCGGGCAAGCCTATCGTGCGAGTTGCCCTCGAACCGGTTAATCCAGCTGATCTGGATAAGATGATCGAGGGTCTCAAGCTGCTCGTGAAGAGCGATCCGTGTGCGGAGTACGAGCAATTCGAAAGCGGCGAACATGTTCTGCTTACGGCCGGTGAACTACACCTAGAAAGGTGTTTGACGGATCTGAAAGAGAGATTTGCGAGGTGCGATATCCAGGCTGGCGCACCTATTGTACCATATAGAGAGACGATTGTGCGCGCGGAGGAAATGAGACCGCCAGCAAATAAGGAATTAGGACGCGGCGTTGTCGTTGGCGTCACGAATTCGAAACAGGTCAGCATCACGATTCGAGTACGGCCATTACCCGAAAACGTCACCGAGTTCCTCCTCAAAAACCCGGGCGCTATCAAACGTCTTTACTCGGAACGAAATGCGCTAGAGGAACCCGACCAAGAGAATGGAATCGACGGAGAACAAAAAATCGAGGAGGAGGATGATGTACTCGAAGGCAAAAGCCTATCTCTCGACGAGTTGAAGAAGCAACTACAGGCGAAATTGGAAAGCGGCAAAGGACGCGAGGGGTGGAAGGGGGTCATCGACAAGATAACAGCCTTCGGGCCGAAGCGAACAGGACCGAATCTACTAATCGACGCAACTAAAGACGGCTATTTCCCCAAGGTGTTCACTCCGGAGAAGCAAGCGGATGACAGCAGCCCGAAGGCAGACGAGGCGCTCAAGGCCGCGCATCTATGCGACAAGGTTACATATGCGTTCCAACTGGCCATGAACCAAGGTCCGTTATGTAATGAGCCTGTACAAGGTGTGGCTGTCATAATCGAAGACGTGACCGTCGCGCCAGCGGACGAAGAGACATCTGCACGGGATCGTCTAGGCCGGCTTACAGGCGAGGTTATCAAGACGGTACAGCAGTCTATCCGCCAGGGCTTTCTGGATTGGTCTCCACGCCTTATGCTCGCTATGTATTCATGCGAGATCCAGGCAAGCAGTAAGTTCTTCCCGAAATCTTCACATTTTTATTCTGTTCTCTTTTATTCTGAATGTTATACTAACGTCAATCATAGCCGAGGTCCTGGGACGCGTATATGACGTCATCACGCGACGTCGCGGTCGCGTTCTCTCGGAGCAGATGAAAGAAGGCACGCCGTTCTTCACCATCCAGTCGACGATCCCCGTGGCGGAATCATTCGGGTTTGCGGAGGAGATGCGCAAGCGCACGTCGGGTGCCGCGCAGCCGCAACTCATCTTCCAAGGGTTCGACATTCTGGTTGATGAGGACCCGTTCTGGCAACCCTTCACCGAAGATGATCTCGAGGACCTAGGTGAGCTTGCCGACAAGGAGAATGTTGCGAAAAGATATATGGACGGTGTGAGGAGGAGGAAGGGTCTGCTGGTTGAGGGTAAGGGCGAGAGGGTTGCGGCTGAGAAGCAGAAGACTCTGAAGAGGTAAAGGGGCTAACTGGCCTGGTGAATTGGTCATGATTGGTTAAGGCATAAGTGTTGAATAGGGAGGATATTTGGAGTCAAGCGATGCATAAAATTCATAACACGATAATTTGAGGGGAATACGCCTTGCGTTGTCGTCGATGATAAAATGGAAAAAGTTCGGAGTTATCAGAGATTGTGATAACTTGGTATTTCAGCAGTCGAATAGATTTTATGTGCGCCTCATAGTTCCGTTGAAAATAAGTAAGCTACGTGTGTCACGGTTTAGAATAACTATATTCGCCTTATTGAATATAGACCTTGGGTATTTACCTGAATCATCAGCTGTATGAAAGGCTTCATAACAATATCTCTTCTCCTTAGTATTGTTATATATCTAGATACATACTTGACACTTGGTTGCTTATCTATTTCCTTAGATTGTAGTATGTCGATGCATGTGCGATTCCTTTCGTGTACCGAGCAAGCGAGGAATACAATGAAGTATTACCTAGGTAGTTAATGTATTAATCAAAGTTAATGTTGAATTGTCTATATATTTCGTTTATATAAAGCTAGCATGCGATTTAGCAACTACTCCTACATCAGAATATGACCTAAATGTTGTCGTGATATAATGTATGAGTTCTAAAGGTAGCTAAGGGTACATAGGTATGTATATAGCTTGAGCTCTAAGGAGTATCTTCTATGTAAAATATGCAAGTCCCGACCAAAGGAGAAATAAAGATTACCCCGTCGTTCAATATTCGTTAGATAAAAAAAAGGGAAAAGCCTTATCCGTCTTTTTGGGTAGTCTGCTGGCTTGGGGAATGGGGTTTTCTTCCCAGGGCAGACCAGGGGCCGACATAAGCGGACCGAACGCCAGCTTGAAAGAAGCGGTCATGAAAGGTGAATGGAAAATGAGGACGATAGAAGGAAAAGAAAATCTCCCAAGGGCCAGTCAACGAAGGGCAGAGTGGGGTGGTATGAAGGCTTGGTAGGACTCAGCCTCCATTGCAACCGTGGGGTTGCCAATCATCCAAACGCCGTTGTATAAGCTGTAAGCTAGGGGTTTCTAAGCTAGGCACTTCTACCATCTTGCAACATCCGGTCAAGCTGGGGTGCGAATATCCGCCCTGATCCTAGCAGTAGGTAGTTAGCATTTATGTGTATCTACCTTAGTAGACAGCTTGACCATACTCTGTCGTGACAAGGTGTCATCTGAGAAACTCGACGTATAAGAGTCGAGCTCCGATTCGTGACTGGGAAAGGTCCGGGGAGGACCTGGTACACTGGATGACCAGAGCGCGAACGTATCGACTCTTACGCCTCTCTTCCGTAGACGATAAACATTAGCTATTAGCGGATCCCTCATATGGGGGACTACTACACTTACCGTGGCATAGAACATCCCAGATTCGAGCGCAGACGACCTAGCAAGCGGATCGTAGTTGATCGGGTTTTCTTGTAGCGGTCGAGCGTTCCGACGACGAATAAACCATCGGAGGTATTGTAGACCTGCGATAACACACATGATGAGTATGGAAACGATCCCAACAATTGCATCGTCCGACAACGCCATTATAGTTGAAGCTAACCGCGTGTTCGGTAGGTAATATATATAGCTATTTAGAAGAAGAAAGTTATGTTGAAGCATACCTAAACCTTAACTAACGCAAGGGGAGGGCCTTGCTTATATATTTATTAAAGTCATAGAGATAAAAGCATGTCTACTGGGCGCTGGTCTTGAAGTGGGAACATTAGCAAGAGTACATTGAATAATGTAAAGGAGTATTTCGGGAGAGAGATCTTCAAAGGGGGGATTTCGGAAGGGGAGATTTTGGAAAGGAGAAATTGTGTCTTTGGTTATTAACTAGTATGCTGCATAGCCGATTCAGCACGGTAAGGTATCCAATCGTAAAATTTTAAAATGAAGCTTGAAGAGGAGATTATGGGGAAGAGGATTATGGAGGAGGAGATTTTGGAAAGGCGAGCTTGTGTCTTTTACGTACCAACTACCTAGTGTACTGTGTGTCACGACATCTGGGAACAATAGGCAAGAGAGATTATGGAAGGGGATTATGGAAGGGGATTATGGAAGGGGTGAAGGGAGATTTTGGACAACTCGGACCTGCATCATCGACAACCTCAGCTGAACCTGGTGGTACTTGTGTACTAGGTGCCTGCCTATTTTACATGTAGGTAGGTAGATAATGCATAAGGTTATCTCCAACCTGTGATACCCAAGTTACTTTACAAGGTACATACCTGGTATGTATCTTACCCAGGGCCTCCGTCGGTTTAAATTGCAACTTTCTCCTTCAAATACCAAAGTGCTTACTTCACAGCCCTCCTTAACTACAACAACGGCTATCCTTGAATAGACACCTTGGCTTTATTTCTTCCATCAAAACTCTGTTTACCTAATTTTGTAATATATCGGCATCATGTCATCGTTCGAAAAGTCACCTCTGGACTCTACTGGAGATATATGGCTACAGCATAAGCATACAATCGAGCGTCTTTACGCAGTCGAAAATAAAACTGCCGAAGAAGTGATGGAAATTATGGAGAGAGAATTCGGATGTCCACGCATCACGTAAGTACCTGACCAGTCTTGTTGGTCTATCTGGCTTGTTAATCAAGACCAATAGTAAAAAAGCTTTCCAAAAAATCATCCGGAATAAGCTCAAATTAAGCAAAAGGCTCAAGAAAGGCGACTGGCCGAGAATATACCGAAATTATCTTATTCACAGAAAAGATATACCAACCGTGGTCTATCATAAGAATAGAAAGATTATATGGAAGGACGTGATAAAGGAGACTAAAAGGTCAGGGCCTTTGCCGGATACAGGTCAAGGTGAGTAAGATATCTTGATATATACTAACGTCAACGGTTACAACGGTAGGCCATACAGGGCTAATGTATCCTAATAGATGGCGATGCCACGCTCCCGATGGATGTTGTTCTGAGGACACCATCACCAACCGGATCTCGGATGTCCCATTCTCCAGCAACAGATCCTCGACAATCAACGGGTTCCTCATCCCAGCCCTCAACCTCTTCATCTACAGCTCCTGTTATATCACCTCCTAATATCGAAAATGCCCTAAATGGAATTCCATGGGTCAAGTTCAACTATAGAATGTTTTGTATGTATCTTGAACTCCTTGCTCTATTAGGTATCCCCCACGCAACCAACTAATAGATATATTAGCGACTACAACTTCTCCACACGATAGCAACACAAACTTCCCGGTTGATATTGACTCTTTGAGGACTCTCATTGACACTAGACTCGGAATAGATTCATTTAGGATCTGGAAAGCCGCATTCCCTTCCACCAGATTGCACTTCTTGAGCAGTATGCCCTCATCTTCGGTACTTACACCAGATATCTGTGCTTATCACCTGCTGGCCAAAGTCGTTTATTTAGCTTCTAATAATTTGCATTGCGGCATTTCTAGTCGAGATCGCAATCTATTTACCGGAGCTATCCAACTTCTATCCAGTCAAATTCCCGAAGCAATTCTGGATGCATTATTCCAAGGAGATCTCACTGTTCTCAGGATCATATGGGAACATTTAACTGAGTGTGCCGGTATATCCCGCTACCACGATACATTCACTTCATTGATAAAGGCTGGACTCCAGCATAGGAAATGGATTCTCCCTAATGGGGCTTTATACCTCTCCTTTGCCGCCTCTATGGGTGCTCTTGATGTCGTTCAGGATCTACTCGACATCGGCATTCGTGCTGATGATGTTGTAAGGTTCAGAGAGTATCCCGTTATCGTTGAAGCCGCGGCTACCGGCAATATAGAATGCGTGCAGTTGCTGCTAAGGGCGTGTGACGCAAACCGCGAGATTATACATAACGCGTCGAGCTTTCAGATACTTATCCTCGCCTTCGTAAAGGGTGAATTGCGCATTCCTACAGACGGAGATTATCCAAACCTACCAGGCTTTCCCAAGGAAATCAGAAGTGAGCAGCCCACTATAGTCAGTGTTAGTCTCAAGAACGAGTCCCAACGCCTAATACTAAAAATGGTTTTGGATTGTGGTGCAAATGTCGACTTACCGTGGGTAACCGATTTTACCATCGATAATCGGGCATACGATCTCCCTGGGGAATGGTGTTCCACGACCTTAGAAAAGACTTATTACTGGGACAAAAGTCTATTCTCTGAACTTGCTCCATATAGCACTGGCACCACAGGACACCTTTTTCAACCAGATATATGTATCTCGGCGTTGCGAGGCGAGGAACCCCTTCGCGAATACGTATACTCGCAACCAGAAATGTCCGATTCCGAGATAAAACCATCCTTGGAGTTGGTTCTCTTCCAGCAAGTCATAAATGATAGAATATTTGATATAGAGGACGTGCATATCAACATAGACATTATTCGAAGACTTCTTGAATTAGGTGTGGATCCAAACCTTCCTTCGTTAAAGCGTTATAAATCTAGATATCATAGTCTAGATATCGACGATCTTCTCCGACACCTAGTCTTAAAACCGGATGTTCATCGCCTTGGAGAGAGCTTTGATATAGTGTTGAGGTTAATCCTTCAATCAGGAGCAAGCATAAACTCAGACGTCTTGGTGGCTGGTGTTCAGAAAGAGGGAATCGACATGTTAAAAGTCCTTAAACGAGTTGGCGCTGATGTAGGAAGATATGGCGCTGCTGCGTTATCTTTAGCTGCGCGGTTTGACAATTATGATGCAGTTAACTGGCTGTTAGATTCAGGAGTAAACATCAACGCAGAAGTTACTTATATGGAAATGAGTGTCATAGCATTAGCAAGCTATACTACTGGCATCTGTTGCCCGAGATTGTGGGTCTGTCCTTGCAAACGGTGGGAGCTTTCTGGCCCAGCGAGTTGCGAAATGTTCGGATACTTGGTCAGCCGTGATGCGACTTTAAGGCATCATCCAGACGACCCAGACGCATTCCGATTCTTGTACCATCTACTCGAGAGATACGTGGCGAATGGCTCTCTATTAAATATGATGGGGCTATTTCTGCCGAAATTGGACCTGCTACCCCCTGATAACATCAGCAGTAGTCTATGGGAAGCTTGTCTCTATTCATCAAGCCGGAATTGCCCCAATGAAAAGCAAGCCAAAACCCGAAGGGAAAAGATTAAGGCACTCGAACTACTTCTCAATCACGGTTTACTGGATCAAGATGACATCGCACTGTCAAATTTGATTCGTCATAGAGGACCGCCCGAGTTAATCGAAAGGCTCCTGGAGTCTTGTATAAATCCCAATGCACAAATCGAATATTTCGAGCATCGTCTTGTGGGAAGTCTTATTCAACTTGCAGCATATCTTGGCGATAAAGCTTTAGTCGAAAAGCTGCTACAAAAAGGTGCCGACATTAACCAGCAAACGGATCCCCTTCTTGGGAAAACGGCCCTCCGAGCCGCATGTGATTGGAAGGAAGTTCCCGCGGGGGAAGAAGCGAATAGAGTCAATCTTATACAGTTCTTGATCGAGGAAGGCGCAGACATTAACACCCCTGGAAGTATGGTGGATGGATTTACGGCCTTGCAGTGTGCTGTTGCCCAAGGCAATATGGATGTCGTGCTTTTATTGATATATGAGGGAGCTTCCATTAATACTCCTGATAGGTATGGGAATTGTGCGCTAGACCTGGCGGCATATTATGGAAGACTTGACATAGTTCACCTTCTCTTGAATGTTGGAGCTCTTAGTAGTAGGCCGGGGCAAACCGGTTATGATGGAGCGATCGAAACGCTAGAAGAGGAAGAACAACACCCCGATGTGGCCAATTTGATACGGCGGTACGCAGAAGAACATCCAAGAGATGATTGAGTTGCGGATGATGTTGAATTCCAAAGGGAATCATCTTAACAAGATCTTACTATTTTCTTTTCCTCTTCAATGACGTTGTCAAAGCGAGCCTTCGAAATTATAACGGGTTAGAAAACCCGATCTCCAGTATACCCCCTACTCGAGCTTTTCATAACTCTCTCAAAAGATCCTTCGAAGCAGGTGTCTCAATACAACATTACCATCACCTCCTTGGCCCAACGTGTTGCGAAATATCTTGCGTGTCTCCTTGGTATAAGTTCGCAGCTCTTCTACGTTACGGAAGGTCTGAACCTTTTCCTCCCTCCCACTTCGTCTCCATTCGATCAAATCAACGATATTAACGTGTGTCTTACGTGCAGCCTATTACCCGCGTCAGCGTGAATCCACCGATTTTCGTTGCAGGGTCTCCTACCTCCTCACATTGCTCACATGTTTTCGGAAGCGGCTCGACACCGATCGGGCGACAGAGCGCATGCCACGCATTCAAATCGTCCTCTGCACCGTACCACAGCTGCAGCTCGCTTTGCAGCGCGTCTTGATATCTATCCCACGCATTGTCCGACGCGGCGCTGCCGCGGCTCCATCCTTGTTGTCTCTGTAGGTTGGCATACGAAGTTGCTGGAGGGAGAGAAGGGTTATAATCGAACGCTGGGAAAGAGCGGAAAAAGACATCCAAGGGGGTTTCGGTATCCTTCTGGTGAATACGAGAGTCCCGCAGGTGCTGATCTAGAGCCTCTTCGCTGCCGAAGGATCGATCGCAAGTCTTACAGTCAAAGGACGGGGGATGAATTGGGGAATCGCCTAGGTGTTGTTGCAACGCCTCTTCGCTATTGAAAGATCGATTGCAGGTCTTACACTCGAAAGACGGAGCATGGACCGGAGAGTCCTGCAGGTGCTGATCTAGAGCCTCCTCGCTGCCGAAGGATCGATTGCAAGTCTCACAGTCGAAGGTCAGAGCATGCGTTGGCGAATCCCGCAGGTGCTGCTGCAACGCCCCTTCGCTACCGAAAGATCGATTGCAGTCGTCACAGTCAAAGGACGGGGCATGAACTGGGGAATCGCGTAGGTGTCGTTGCAACGCCTCTTCGCTATTGAAAGATCGATTGCAGGCCTTACACTCGAAAGACGGAGCATGGACCGGGGAGTCGCGTAGGTGCTGCTGTAATGCCTGCTCATTGCTGAAGGATCGATCACAGGTCTCACACTCGAAGGACGGAGCATGAACCGGAGAGTCGCGTAAGTGCTGCTGCAACGCCTCTTCACTATCGAAAGATCGACTGCAGTCGTTACAGTCAAAGGATAGGGCATGAACCGGGGAGTCGCGTAGGTGCTGCTGCAGGCTTTCGTCGCTACCGAAAGATCGATGGCAGAGAACACAACGGGAGCTCATGATATCAAAGTGTCCATACCACTATCGATTCGATTTTTCAGAAGTATTCAGAAGTATCATGGTTGTAAGCGGGAAGCCGTCAGTCCAGTTATACTGTATAACTGGACGAGTCAATCAATAGCTCGACCTGACTTGGACCTGACCTGGCCTGGCCTGGCTTGGATAGATCGTAAATATTTTTTTATTTGTGTAGCAGTAGCAGGTACGTACATCCTCAATGTACGTACGTATATAATTTTGATGATACCTATGTGATTTGGTGTATTTACTGTGGCTGACGTGGCGAAGGCTGTGGCTTCATAAGAGCATTCAAGCCAGTCCGAAAATATAATCAGGTAAGCCCTGTAAGTCCATATAACTGATCTGACTTGAGCAGGTCAAGTCTATACGGTTATTTGACCTGACATGACTTATCGAACTCGCTGGTTATACATGTGACGAATGGAACGTCGGCATAGGGCAGCTCTGTTGTGTAACGGTGCCGCCCAATGAACCAGTGACACATAAACTCCCCCAGAATTACTTGAGGTATCTACATTATTTCACTGTCGCTGAGAGCATCCCATCCTCGAAAGATGACTATATCTTCAAAGACATGACTGAGTCCTGGAATCTCAACCCGTACAAGTGTACTCATCCTCCAAAGACGCTTTGGAGGGTGATACACTCTGGCACCCAATCTCGACGATGTCCATCTACAGGAGATCTTATTGCGTCGGACAGCACCCGTATAATCAGAGATGAACCAGAGCTGAAGCAAGCAATCGAAAAACACATCAACTGGTGGAGCCGCCAACCAAGCTGCTTTCTATCAGTATTTAGTAATAGGCAACATGCTCGTAATTGGGCGGAGCAACGCGGGGCAACACAATCCCGAGTCGATATTTACGAGATAGACACAACGCGTCTACCACCCGATACATATCTCTTCGACGTAGACTCGCTGAAGGCTACGTTAGGCTTTGTTCATCCGGCATCAACCCACGAATTCTTATTCCTACACCGCATCCCGGCCCGGGCCATAGTCAGCAAGCGAGGTCTGGGAGAGATCTGGGAAAAGGGTATGTAAACCCTGTTACTTACCAAAAGCAAGATTTCGTTAAACTAACAATGCATATATAGAAGCAGAGGCTCGACATTATGCCGCCCGTCCGTTCGACCCGAACTACCATTGGGTTCCTGACTTAGACGGATGGTACGATTCTGACGAAGAGTGCGAGGAACGCAATAGATGCGATGATTTGATTAATATGATAGAGGGGAATTGGAACTGGAATGTATAAAATGACCAAAATTTAATAATTCTGATGGTGACAATTGAGGAAAATCAGCCGGCGGTTGCAAGGAAGGACGTTGGTTATATGGATCTGGGAGGGCGTTGCTATCCGGGGTATGATACGTACCCCCCGGATCACGTGATCCCGAAAAGTGGAAATATAGCCCGGCTATCAATTGGAGCATAGCCCGGACTTGCTAGCAATTTTGATGTCTCGCCGCTGCCCGGAACAACAAAAGCACCCACCCACTCAAGAAGTAGTTACCGACTCAAAACATACCACTCGACGAACGGTTAAAAGCCCAACTTATCATATCTCGATGAAAATGTGCTTGCATCTTTAATACTTGAGAGCATATTTATTCAATGTGTACCTAATCAGTCCCGTAGACCTTACGGTTTCAATCCCAAACTCCATAAGTATATGTGTGACTATATATACGAGTGATATACGTTGCCTCCTCCGGCCGCTTTGCCCCCTTTTCCGGGTATCCCAGTAATGTTCCTTGGCGTAATAAGTAAGAAGGCAAACCTCCCTTCCAATACTGGCAGTCTAGATGTTGTGTAATTATGGCTTGCTGGCGGTAGTGCGCAGCGACGTTCGGTAGGTAGGTAGTGTTAGCTATTCGTCTGCCTTTTAGATGGGCGCGGATGTGGTCATGTGGGTATCATAATAGGCTTCGGTGCCTGGAAGCTGCTTTAGCCTTGGGTGGACGGATTAGAGGTCGCTTATTTCGGGTTACTCTTTTTAGTTTAGGATTTCGTCTCCTCGTCCCATCCCCAGACCTGGGACAGATATCTCTCCATGTTAACCCTCTTTGTCCGCATCTCCATCATCCAGGGATGCTCAAGCATCCTCCATGGACTTGCTCGACGGTTTGGTTCTTTCTCGAGACTATTCATGCATTAGATATGAATGTTTTTTTCTTAATGGTAACAGATTTGGGTGACTTACCAGCACTCGATGAAATACTTAAAGCTATCACTCCAGAATATGTTGGCATCCGGCTCGTCCTTTAGTTTAGGTATCGGTTGTCGGACGATGTAGGTCAACAGATCGATTAATCCTGCCTTGGGTTGCATCTCGGTTCCGTCAGCTGGGAAGGGGAATCGGTGCTGAGCCACCTCAAGGAGCGTTACTCCGGTCGACCAAACGTCCGACGTGATAGTATAACTCTGACCGGTAATACGCTCCGGTGCCATGTAATAGCTCGTACCGATGAAGGTATTAGCTTCACCCTTGGTTCCAAAGTCGCCAGAAACGCCAAAGTCGCACAATTTGACTTCGCCGTTGCGGCAAAGCAGAATATTCGACGGCTTGATATCTCGGTGGATAATCTTTTTGCTGTGGAGATAAGTCAAACCTCGGAGGACGCCTTCGGCAATCTTCCCTAAGACCTTTTCGCCTGTTCGGCCGCCAAGTCGCTTTACTTCCTTGTAGATGCTGTCGAGGGATCCGCCCTCGCAAAACTCCATGGCGATAGAGATAGTAGCTGTAGCAGGGTCGCCGAAAACACCGTAGTATCGGCAGATATGCTCCGATGCGCATTCCTTATTGAAGTTGATTTCGCGGAAGATCTGCTTTTTAACATCCGGGTCTGGATTTGTAGTAATGACCTAAGAAGCATATTAGCAACCTATGCGCGCTCCTGTTAAAGTCGGGGGATAAAAAGTAGGTGGCATACCTTCAATGCAAATACCGTCTTCCCACCCTTCAGCTTACATCGTGTGACAGCACCACCAGCGCCCTCGCCTAGACTACCTAACTCGACAATTCTGTTTTCTGCGCTCGCGATTCTCCAGCCGTTGTCATCGAGCTCATCTACGTCGGCAGTTCTTGCTTTCTCCAGAGTCAGCTTATCGAAGCTATCCTCGAGGCCCTGCGTGCTGTTGTCCCGCTCCATGCCAATGCCCCCTTCGCTTCTCTCCGAGTAGATAGAACCGACGGCAGATATGGGGTCCGGAGTGCCCTGCGGCCTCGAACCGATGCCATACTGCGACGCAAACGATAGGGCGGAGAATTGGGAACCTGCGGATGTAGGGTTGCTAGCTCTTCCGTCGAGCGGACCAAAGCTACCGGATCGCGAGTGCGCCGCGCTGCTTTCGCTACCGCCGCTCGCAGATTGTCCCGGCTGAATTGTAGGACGATGTTGTTCGTACGGCGCGACGGTACTACCCATCGGAGTGGCGACATGTACAGTGAGTTGAGGCCGCGAGGGACCGCCTGCGGCGCCTACCGGTTTAACATTAGGAGATGGTGGGATAGCCAGGCCTAATCTCGGTGTTCGTCCGCCACTCGGCCTGCCGACTCCGAGCGCGGGTCGAAGAGGAGCAGGGGAGGAAGACATGATGGGAATAGGCGTCGGGGCAGGCGGAGGGGTGCTGACAGCAGCATCGAGAGTTGCTGCAGTTGAAACCTTCATGGCAAAAGTCGGTTAGCATCGCAGGCACAGGGCACAGGAGCGGGGAAGCTTGCTGGACGTAGGTGGAAACAAAAGTACAGATGTCTGGAGAGATGTCTGGAGAAAAAGAAGATAGAGCTAACGAGGGCGAAGCCGAGATAGGGAGAGCACAATTACATTTTGGATTACGGGCTCAGAAGCCTGAGGATTCTCGTGATCGGGCATTTTGTGGTAGGTCGGTATTCAAAGCACAGATTGCGCAGCAAGTCTGTGGGTGAGTGCGTGGTCGTGGTGTAGTTTGCCGAGGAGGCGGTCGGGCTGATCGAGTACAAAGAATAAATAAAAGGGCCGAAGCTGGCTGTATGTAACAGTCCGTCGACACGACTCGTCCAGGTATGTCCAGATATGTCCAGGTTATGCTCAAACGAGGTCACACAGCGCCGCAGGTAATATATTTGAGTGACGTATTGCCAAATCCGTTGGTGGCACTGTTTTGTAAACGAAAGAATTATGGTAGTATTGTATTGTATGGTATTGTATTCGGAATCGTATCAAGTAAACGAAAGAATTTTAGAGCAATCAGAAGTTGGACTTTGACAAGAAAAAATGAAAATGTTCAAATCGAATCGTTGATGGGTTCGTGGGTTCGTGGGGGGGGAGAACCGAGCGAGTGTGGAGGAGACGGTTTGCTTGTGTGCCGCGCGTAAACCCCTGCACAAATGTTGGATGCCCAGTAGTCTGTCCAGCAGTCCAGGTTTATGTGGTTGTATGTATATAGTCAGGTAGTATAAGAGGTAGGTAGAATATCTAGTTTCCTCTCGAGGAAGCGGAGAAAGACTTGGCTGGACGTTGGACGACGAGGACCTAAGGTAGGTAGGTAGTTAATAGGTAGTTAGGTAGGTAGTTAGATAGGTAAGTTATTAGACCCGAATCTTTGAGTTGTCGTTGGTGAACCTTGGCTACCTTGGCTACCTTAAGGTATTTGGCTTGTCCCGCTAAGACCTGGGGGTTCGGTGCGGTTTTGAGTGGTGGGTGGCTTTTGGTTAATGATGAAAAAAGACGGGGCGGATGAACCAGAAACAAGACTTGATTACAGGGATCTTGATGCGGGTTCTCATGCCAATACCATGCCAGGACCAGGTCCTCAGCGCCAAATTCCTGTAGATTGGGCGATAAACGAGCGAATTGATGTGAAATGGGTCAAGTTAGGTTAATGCGACTGGTGACTGGTGACTGGTGACTTGCGAGTTGCTAGTCGATAGTTAGTTGCCAGTCGGATGTAGGAAGAGTAGTTGTCGTGCATGTATGTGTATTATCTTCTGTATGTGTAGACTAATGTGTATTAAGTAGGACCAATAATGCCTACGCGCATGCGCTGAACGAAAGCGTGGATGTGTGGATGCGTGGATGTGTGAGCAGCAGATATAAAAGATTTTGTAACGAGCAAGTTTAAGGCAGAGAGGTACCACAAGATAAGTTCGATATCGAAGTATCGAAAAGGTGGTTTAAGTACCTAACCTTAGGTATGGTAGTACCTAGTGGGGGTTGCTAAAACAGAGATAGGTACATGAAAGTCTCCAAGTTTAGGTCTCCAAGTTTATCAAGACCGGCCCGAGCCTAGGATATACCTAACCTAGAAGCTGCACCCCGTAAGGCAGCTATTTGAAAAAGGGTTAGGGGGATGCTGGCGTAGTTTCGAATTACAATATTCGTACAAAACGGGTTGTCTGGCGGTTAACAAGGCTTTTTGATATATGCTAGGAAATATGAAAATATGAAAAGGAAAAAAAAGGCATGCCTAGTTTCATACCTCATGTACCTAATATTCAAGTACGTAGGTACCTACTAGAACCGCTTAACCCCCCAGCATCTTGAGATGTGACGACGCTCGGGTCTAAAATGATCATCATCCACATGAATGGAATGAATGGTCAATCAAAAACATCTGCTCTATGTACATTCGTCTGCATCCGTCTGAGAAAGCAGCTGTTGCGCGCAAGGGGTTGGCCTGAAGTCGTACAGTACCATCTCAATATCATCTCAATGGTCGAATTAATGGTCGACTTAATGGTCGACCGATCATGGACTACGGGTCCCAAGGAATCAAATCGTGGGACATTGCAACCTCCAACTAGACCCCTGACCAGCTCGACCGGGGGAGCGCTGTCCACCCTGTCCACACATCACTGATCCACCTTTAGTCCCGCCTCCACCACTCATCGTCGTGGAATTTCATTGTCGAAGAATGTTTCGACAAGACTCGAGCAGGTCTCGTCGTTGCTGACATGTCCGGTTGTTGTGTCAGACTGTATTAGGCCGACCGCCAATGCGTCTGCTTCTCACTACTTCTCACTATTTCTCGGAGTAGGCGAGATTATCTCAAATTTAGTCGGGATTCGGCACCCAGGAAGGATTAGCGAGGATGAGGTAGTTCCGTACTTGGGTGGTAAGCTAGTAGCTATTGTCAACCACCTACGTATGTATTACATGTATGTACAGTCTGATGTATGTACATGTCGAGCGCTATGTACCGTTGCGGGCACTGCGCGAAGGTGAGGTGAGACTGTGCTCATCTAGATACTGTATGAAACCCCCCGACTTGGGGGCTGGAGGGATAGCTCGCCGTCACGTATGAGCTACCTTGTAGCCCTAGACCGA